CACCTTAAAATGTCTGATGGGGTACGTTTTATGTGTTTCACCACATACAAGAAAGTTTCTAACAGGGAACTTGTTAGAAATATATGTGATGATCTAAACCATCCGTGTGCCCACAGAGAGGGAAGAGATGAATGAATGAAAGGGAAATGTCCCCTTCTGTAGCGAGGCATGCTCATTTTAGTGCATTCCACACAGGTAGGTACAAGAAGAGAGAAAGGCTTAAAACATGAGGTCTAAACTTTCCAGAATCCAAAACAGACATTAGAACATATCAGAAGAGGTTGAGAGGTTCAGGAAGGCTAGGTCCCATTACCAGATTCCTGCCTCACAGTGAGATACTGAAGAGAACCAGGCTGGTTAACAGAGCTGCCTCAGTTTGGAGTCTTGGTTGCAAATACTTGACAAGGATGCTTGGCTGCTGGGAGGAATTTATGAACATGTAACACCAGCTGGGAGAAAACCCCATTACTGCTGGAGAAACAGTTTAAACACCAGGAGGAATTACCGAGCCTCAGCCACTAAGAACATTTTCAGGCCACACCCTAGGATTAGCTATAAAAGCCCCAGCTAAGCCAGGCCCCAATCCCTCCTACACAGACACTATTATAATGAGCCTTCAACCATTCCCATGTTTCTCCATCATTCCCTCAATTCCAGGGAGGAAGTAACTGTTGTGGGAGCTTGTTTGAACAGCTGGGAGTCCCAGGAGACAGGACATCCACACCCTAAACAGGGGAGGCACATGTCCACACTGGTTACCGTGGCTTAGGAGGTGCTCACTCTAGGTTTTATCCAGCTTAAAACAAAGTAGGGCATTGCCAAGTAATCCTGGCTACAGGCTCTAGACTGTTGAGATCCTGTCACTTGCCAACCAGATGAGACCTTCATAAACCACCACAGGGAAACAAGGGGCACACAAGAAGGTAGAGAGATGAAATGAAGCCCAGTGTCAGCTGCGTCTCTTATGCTCTGTTATTTGACCTTGGATAAGAACAGAATCATCTTTACCACTACTAGCTCCTAGGAGTCAGATGATAGACACTAGGCAACAGCTGCTGCCACCTCCACCTGGGACGTTTGTTGCTGAGGTGGAGGAGCAGTCATTGTTCTGGCACAGGTTAATCAAGATGGAAGCCAGCTCCCACACAGTCTACCTAAAGAAGGGCTTAGATATTGGAAAGAGGTGAAAGGAAGGATTAAGTTAACACTTTACATTCCAGTCTTTTATTCACCAGTACACACCCCTGTTCTAAACGCTGTGCCAGGACAGCAGCAATGTTACCTACCTCTTTTCTCTCAAAAGGTCAACAAAACAAGCAGTTTAAAACCAGAAACAGAAGCTCATTTTTGACACAGCTAGAAGCATCAACAACCTAAAGCTCAACGCAGGCAAGCGATGACTGCAGAGATGGGGATGGGTGTGAGCACAGAGAAGAGCGATGGATGGCATCGCCAGCAGAAGCCAGCCAAAGTGGATACACTGTGAAGGGCCTGAGCAGTGGCTATGAAGACTACATCAACAGCAGCTCGGTTCCCGAGGCGCCTCTCTCTCCTCAAAGGAGTTAGAAGGTATAATGAACAGACACGGCTTCTGGAAGCAAGAGCTCCACAAACGTGGACACTGAAGAGAGTGAGCTGGAAGGAGAGTTGATATAAAATGAAGACAGAGACTGTCCCACTCCCTCGCTCTGCTGGTTCAAAATCATTGTGAACAGGATGATGCTACCACAATGAGAGACTGAGGGGCCACTCTCTGATAGTGTCATCTGAGAAAAAAACCTACAGATGCTGCACCAGAACCCACAGGAAGTAGGCTGATGGCTGCCCTGTCATTCTACATCACGGCTCAGCAGGAAGCAACCTGTATTCACACACAGACACACAAGCAGCTTTCTATATATGAACAGAAAGGTTTGCATATGAACTAAGCACTGGGACATAAACAAACAAGCTGATGGGGGAGGGGGCGGAGCATGCACATATCAATCACAGACCCAGGAAGTGCAAGGCCCTCAGCCCAATCCAAGCACCAAGACACAAGAGAGAGGACAAGTAAAAGGAGGAGGAGGAAAAAAGAAAAAGAATGAGAGGGGGAGGGAGAGAGGGCAAAAAGGGAAGGGAGAAGGAAACAGGAGAGAGGAAGTGGGCAGCAGCAAGGAGGAAGGGAAAAGCAATCGGTGTAGACAAGGAAAAGGGTGCTACAAACAAAACTTCAAAGAAATTATACTGAGTGTCCTCACTGAGTTATGGCCTTGCACTCATAGCACAAGACATACCACTTAAAAGGGCGGGAAACCAAACAAAAAGGAGGTGTGTGTGAAACAATATACCCTAAAAAGATGAAGATAGAAACTAAAGAACCCTCCCTCAGAAAACACGAAGTTAAAGACCATAGAAAGAAAATATAAAAAAATATTACAAAGCCAATCTTAAAAGCCCAATGCCCAAGTGAATGGTCACTCGGAAAACTGGAACAAGGAGAAAGTTTTCAAAGGAAATACTACAAGAACATATAAGTCACACTTACAATCTCTTCAGCACTCAGTAATAAACTTTAGAAGATACTTATTTCACTGGTGACTCACCAAGCAACCTTGGATTGCACATGTGTGTAACAAACCTTCAAATATGGCATTGCAGAAACTGACAAACACCCACAGGACCCCAGAAATGACATTTGACATCTGAGTTACGTCCCTGGAAACCAGATGATAATGAATCAACAGTCACAATTCTTCCCCACCTAGAATTCTATGCCTAGAAATGACTCCACAAAAAAGCCAAACAAACGAAACAAAGGCCTTTTCATACCAGCAACATCACAGGGAAAGACAGCCACTCGATTTTGTGTTAGGCTTTCTGACATAGTATTTTACTGGGCTGGTGCAAAAAATAAAAAAAAAAAAAAAAAAATCACTGCAGTTTTTACAGTGCTACAATTTGTCATTTGATATTGAAACATATTTTTAAATAAGTGTGGTTATGTTATACATAACTTTAATGCCCATTTCTTCCTTCTTCTCTTTTGCTAATGGTTTATTATTGGATGTCTATTGTACTTGTATTATATAGACAAAAAGCAAATTCAGGTGATTTCTTCAGTTCAAAATGGATGATTAAGGAGTAGAGACAACTCCTAACACGGCAGACACATTTTTCCGGGAACTGCTAGTGAACAGACAGTTCGGTGATGTTTCAATCAAGCTTGAAGATAGGAAGCACAGGAAGACAGGAAGAGAGTGACCACAGGAGTTGACAATGACCAGTTGAAAGTGAGTGTTAAAGCTGATCCTCATATGATCACAGAGAGGTCAGTGTGGACCACTTGGCGGCCATTTGGCACTGAAGCACACAGGAAACAAGCAGATGCTCATGAACTGATCAGAGAAAGAAAAATGAGCCATTCCGACCCACTGTCCTCTCTCACTCTGAAATCACAACACACCAGCCGTTTCCTGGCTGAACTGTGGTGTGTAATGAAGTGGACTATACACCAGTGGTGCAGCCAGCTTAGCATTTTGACTGAAAAGCTCTAAAACAAGTTCCAAAGTCAAGGTTACAGCAGAAGGAAAGGGGCCACGGTCACTGTTCATGGTCTCTGTCCACCTGATCCACTACAGCAGAGTACTGTGGGGCCTTTACCCCTGAAAGGTAGCGCTGCAAACGGATGAGATGCATGGCGAGCTGCAAGGCTTTCCCACACTGTCCCCAGGCTGAAGGACCCCGCCACCTGCCACAACCAGTGCTTCAGAAGAACAGACTGAGCTCATCTGTCACATCAGCTTGACTCTCACCTACCAAGCATCACTTCAAGGACGCTGACAACTTCTTACAGGGAACGGCAGGGTAAGGGAAGTTTTCAGAGAATCCGCTGGATCCCGAGGACCAGACTGCTACATCACGGGAGGAGGCAAACATTTCTTACTGGGAAAAAGAGTCAGTTAAGTGGTTTTTGAGTAATAAAGATGTACTTGAGCTCCAGCCACAGCCCAGCTGGAGTGTAGCCCTGTGCACCTGAAGAAGGGAGGGACTCCTGGGACTATACTAAAAAACAGAATGGCAGCATACACCTGTAGTCCCACCACCTGGAGGTGGGCAAGATCAGGAGTTCAGTAGTTTAAGGATCAGAAGATGGAGGCTTAAGGCGGTAAGAAACTTCCCTCAGGTGCCACGGACAACACGAGGCAGACAAGTGTGATGGGTGCAGCTCATCACACTGCTGAGATGGCTGTGCACACACAACCTTTTGTTCTGGTTTCCCACTCTCTTCTATGCCCCTACAGCCACCAAACACACTATCCCTCCTTTCTCCACCCTAATGACAAGCCAGCCACTTACCAGCATCAGCACTGTAGCTCCTTGAGAGAGCTGCATTCCCAAAATAAACACCGTGTGTGGAGTTTAAAGCTGTGGTAAAAAACAAACCCCAACCTACTCTGTAGAAGGAAGTTTCTCAGATTTTTTTTGTCTTAACCTAAGAAATAAGGAAATAAGCTAAGCGGATAACTAGACAAAAACCAACTTCGATTTCTCATATACCACCCAGCAGGAAGTCACCAAAACAGGGCTTAACTATTCACAGCAATCCCTCTGTTGGTAATCTTTTTTGAATATGAATTCTGTTTTCTAATCAGCTATCCATGGGGAATAATGATTCAAGAATAATTACCTCTTCAGTCTGGCCCACAAATGTTTTAATGGAGAGACATGCTTAAAAAGTCAGAACACAACAAACACACCATACTCTCCCCTTCCAGGGCAACGAAAGGGACAGGATGAATGACTGACAGACACTCTTGAGCTCCCTTACACACTACACAGTTCTCCAGCAAGCCCGTCTGTGATGCTGAATTCCTAACTGCTCAGAGCTTCACCTTCTTCAAGGCCTATGACCCTGAAAGGTGCTGCAGGAAGCTACTGCCTTTACTGTGAAGGATGCAAACACACTCTGGGTTACCGTGCTACGGGTCACAAAGTGTGGGAGCAGTCCAGCCACTTACTCCACAGTATCGGTCGCCGTTAAATATCTGAGGTGGCAGAGGGTTGCCCTGCGCAGGCTTTTTCTCGGGGGGGATGTTCTTGTACATCCACTGCCTCTGTTCTTCTGACATGGTGATGTCCACTTCCTCGAACTCTATCTTGTTGGCTTCCAGAAATCTAACCACATCCTGCTGCTTCTTCTTGATCTAGACAGGAGATAAACAGAGAGAAATGTTTACCTGATGCAGTCAGCATGCATTTGCAGATTAACCCATTCTAGAATCCCCAGGGTCAGAGGGGATGCGCACAGCTGCCCTCACTGTACATCTAGGCGGCCAGGACTGAGCCAGCTCCATGCAGTGATTCCTACACCCAGACATCCCAGAAGGCTGACACTCCACTCCGACTGCCTGCCAAGGGCAGAGGATGGGGTGACAGGAGAGGCAAGACACTCACTTAGCTCTCTGCAAGCCATGGCCAGCCCCTGTCTCCCACCCTGCTAGAACGTGACATTTACATCAGTAAAGTTCCCCCTGCTCAGGACCATTTGTGAGCATGTCTATCTTGCCTGAGATGGACGCTTGGGTGACCAGTGAGGGCAGCATCTTCATTCCTCTCAGATATTCCACAGCTAGAATCACAACTGGGAAATAATCTGTCATCAGTTTGGTTTGCATGAGGAAATGCTGCTCCTCACTTCCAGGTGAGACTAACCCACAAGCATCTCTCAGTCTTAAGCCTTTTTATTCCTCTGACCCTCCAGGTTCCCTCCCCAGTCAATAGGGGTCAGGTGTGCTCCTCAGCAGGTTGAGTGGTATCAAATGTTAGCCACCTTCTCAATGTATGTATCCACTAATTTACGTGGAACACTAGTATTCAATGTCTTAAACACGGTGTGTTAAACATAAAACACATAAAACACGGTTGCCTTTTCTAAGTGACTGGAGAAGATGCATTTTGTAAAATGCAAAGAGTGAACAGCACAAAGCCTGAAGAACAAACGTTTGCTCACACAGATTCCCCACACCAAATACCTCTTAAAAAATCACCAGTGTATCTGACTCTGAGGTTGGCCAGCTGTAATATGCTGTAAGCAAATAGCTCTATCATTGGGTCCATAAATGCTAACAGGACAGTGAGGTTACACAGACAGATAAAATGCTGGCAAAACAGCACATCGCTAAGCTCAGGTGTGAGGATTTGAGAACTACTGTGTGGTGTTATAAATCCAAAAGATAATGACTTCTCGGTTTCTTCACTGAAACCATCTTTCATTTCTGAAAAGGGTGGCTGTTTTCCCTCACATTGGCTACATCATTTCAGAAAAGTGCTTATATTATCCTGAAACTTCAACTGGGGTGGGGGGAATTACTCATACTGCTTGAAAACTAAGATGATTTTATTGTTTCTGCCTTACAGTTAAGAATATTTCCCCAGTGTTCGATCAAGGTCTAACAGCTGATGTGCATTCTATTAAAACACTCAGTACCACCCCCTGCCTTATATCCTTCTTTTGTAACCCCCACCCCACCCCCCGCAGCCCTGAGGGACTATGCACACTTCTGGGCAGGCACACTCATGATCCAGCTTCTTGGTTACAAAAAGGTTCGTGCTTTGAGACCATAAAGCAGTGGCCTTTAATCCTATTAACTCAGGTGACTTATGCTAAAGTCCAGAAGACAGGAATAGAGCCCAACATCCTGAAAGAGACCTAACCCCCATATGTGGCCCCATAACTGATTGTCTGGGGTAGAGGAATAGGAGTGACAAAAAAAAAAAAAAAAAAAAAAAAGTAAAAGGTTTTGAACTCAAGAACCCAACATATGACTATGACGAAGCTGAGACGTTCCTGATAGCATTGACTCTTGAGGTCAATGTCATCACTGTGTGACTTCACTACGGCCTGGGTTGTGCTCTGGGGATGCTCTGTGAAGGCCATCATAGCACTAGACACCAACAGATGCTGCCTGGAGCACTTTGGCTGGACACTACTGTGTGTCATGAGTTGCAGCATTTTATATTCTGTTCAGGTAATGTACTTAGGCACATTATCATGTTGGTTTTTTTTTTTTTTTTTTTTCCTTCCCCTTTGGTCCATTTGTAACTTTTGCTGCTAGAACAGCACCCTGTGATGAACATTGAACTCCTGTCTCAGTCTGTTTGTTACAGTTGCTATAATGAAATGCCACAGACTGGGTGACTTATGAAAAAGGGGAGTTCCTTTCTCACCATTATGGAAGCTGTGAAGGCCAGGGTTAGAGCATTATGGAACAGGTATCTGGCCAGTGCCCCTTTCCTGGGTCACAGATGGAAGCCTTTCCTATGACTGCTCCCTGGGGTCTCATCATGAAGGTCACTAATCTCAACTCCCAAGAGCTTTCTCCTAATTCCATCACATTAGGCATCAGATTTAAACACACACATTTGAGGGGGACGCACGTAGTTAGACCACAGCGGCATCTTTGTAAGTGTTCCCAGTGTATCTCTCTATACCACTACAGGTTAAAGTCCTATGAGTCCTCCTGCCTCTGCCTCTGCCTCTGCCTCTTGAATGCACCCCACTGGCATGCACTAACACAACGGGCTCTATGGTGAAACTCAACTGTCAAACTGAACAGGTTCATAATGGACCCATGCTAACCTGCTTTCAACAAGGCCACAGCGGTTTACAGGTAGGACTATGAGTACTGTCCAGAGTGTCTAGGTCCCAACACCCTCCATCTTTATGTCCAAGGCCTCAAGGCTGTGAGAAAATGACTCGGAATACTAAAACTCGGGGATATCATTAATGCTGGCAATGCTCAGAAAAGAAGGGAGAGCTCCCAGGCAACAGTGATGACCCACAAAATGCTGTGTAGAATAAAAGGTAAGAGAGAGTGCCTTGGTTAGGGTTGTGTGCTGATGACACACCACGAACAATAGCAACCTGGGGTGAAAAGGGTTCATTTCACTCAGTTTTGTATGACAGTTAATCACCAAAGGCTCGAGGGCAGGAACTCATGCAGGGCAGGAACGTGGAGGCAGGAGCTGATGTAAAGGCCATGGAGGGGTGCCATTTACTGGTTTGTCCACCCTAATTTCTTAAAGAACCCAGAGGTGGCCCCACCTGCAATGGGCTGGACCCTCCCACATCAATTGCTAATTAAGAAAATGCCCTACAGGCTTGCCTACAGCCTGATCCTGATCGGATGGAGGTATTTCTCTGTAGGAAGGAGGTTCCTTCCTCTGGTGGCTGTAGTGTGTGTCAAACACCCACATAAAACTAACCAGCACAGACTGCACAGAGACGATCTGTATTTTTAAAGAGGCACAGCCAAGCTTGTGCTTCAAGGAGACAGATTTTGTACTGTGCAGCTTAAATACAAGCAGGAACAGAAACAGAAGCAGCTCTGTGTTAGAAACTGTTAACACAGTTCTGGAAAGATCTATGAGACTGATTAATAGGTTTAAAAAAGTGTAGATCAGGCTCATTTTTTAAAAACAAAAACAATGAAGAAAACTGGGAACATATTTGTTACATTGAAAAGAACTCTTGAAGGTCATGTAAGAAACTAACAGAAGTACTAGGCCACTGAGGACCAAATGAGGAGACCCGTGGGAAGTGGGGGTGGGGGCTGGAGATTAAAAACCCAGTGGGAGCCAGGGCTTTACTCTAAAATTTAAAAAGGTTAATGATTTAAAAAGTTAATGAGAGAAATATGTTTTAAGAGAAAGTCGGGAGTCACACAGAGAACTGCCTGAGGGAACAGGAAAGTGTCCCCAACTAACAGGAAGACAGCTCAAAGCCTGTTGTCACTGATCTCTAGATTACTTTCACTAACATGAAACGGGTTGAGGGAGACCACAGAAGGTTAGCCAACACTCCAGTGAGTTAACCGGGGAACTCTAACCACGGGACCATGTATCCCAGTGGACCATGTATCCCAGAGGATGTGACATGGGCTGCAGGAAGGAAGATGAGTAACAGCACACTGACTGTTTATAAGCTTTGGAGTGTGGTCTGGAACTTTGGAGCCCAGACTTGAATGGGAGGCAGGGCACAGTCTAATGGGTGGGCCCCAGGTGACAGCAGGATATTCTGGACAGGACCCTAGACTACAAATGTAAACAGCATTCGAGATCATTTCCTCCACAAGAAGCATTTTGTTCTCTCCAAGCTTCAAAGCACACCTTACGTACAGTATTTTTTTTTTTTTTTCTTTTCATTACTGGGGTTAACTGTGGGACCACAATCAGTGACTCCATCTATATCAATTCACCCACATGCAGCTCACACTTGTTTTTACCCAAACACACTTAGAAGCCATTGCACACAACAGCAATTTATCCATAACCAATCCCACCGAGAGTGCCCTTGCTCAGCTACTGAAACCGGTTCTTCCCAGCGTCTCTGGAGCAGGAAGTTATCCCCAACACAGTTCTGGAGACAAATCTGGTCACAAATTAGAGACAAACCCCAGCTAGGTGTGGCTGTGTGCGGGTGCCAGGTGCCAGCCCAGCACGCAGGGGGCTGAGAAAGGAGGACTGAGTGTTCTTCCTTGCAGAACTGCTGATGTGGGTAGCTGGGGATGCAGAAAGTCTTTCACAAGTGTGAAAACAAGCACCATCTGCTGGGAATGATGAAGAGGAAAGCAGGAGCCTCTGTCCCTGATGACATCTTACAGCTGCCACCCCAACCTTTTCTTTGCCCTGAACCTCCCTTATTCGACAAACAAGCCCCTAATATAATAAGGTAAGCCACTCAGCATTTGAGTGAGAGAGGGAAGAAGATTGTGGCAAATAATTTGAGGATAGACTGGTCTATATAAAGAATTCTAGGCTGGCCAGAACTACATGAGACTGTCTCAAAAAAAAAAAAAAAATCAAAATACCAAATAAATTTAATTTTTTGGCTCACTTTCTCAGTGAGCCCTCCTCACCCAGACATTCTAGAATTTTCTGTTTTTAACCAGACATTCTAGAATTTTCTACTCCCTTTCAAATCCTTCATTTTATTCTCTACAGCTGGCACTTGTTTTATGTCTGCACATTTGTTCCCCCACATGGAATAAAAACTCCCTAAAGAGGCAATTTTGCCTGTTCTGTCCACAGCAAGTCACATGATGCCCGGAACAGAGTGGACACGTGATGCACATTTGTTAATGAACACACAAAGTTTTCACAGGCAGCTGGAAGCAAACGCCTCAGAGTAGCAACATCAGCCCCT